CCCCCCTTCTTCCTCTCCCCTCCCCCCTCTCTCCCCCTTACTTTTTGCAATGGAAATCGCACAGAGAAATGAACAGACTGATGGAGCTGATCAAGTCAGTCGTGCAAGGTGTTGGTTTAAGGGGTTAGCAGAAAAGTTAATGCTCAAGGTACTTGAGATTGCAAGCAAGACAAAGAAACTTGGACAAGAAGATCCAAGAAGAATTATTCATTCCGTCAAAGTTGGATTAGCCATTACTTCAGTATCATTATTCTATTACTTTGATGCTACATACAATGGTTTTGGTGTGTCTGCAATGTGGGCTGTTATGACTGTTGTTGTTGTCTTTGAATTCTCCGTGGGTAAGTTAAGTTGGTTAATTGCTTCATTAATTAGTTTCATGGCTAATCAATGTTTTCTTCATTTTATAACTTGAGATAGCTTATGGGTGGTTTTGGAATTGCTTTACCTATTTTTCAGGAGCGACCCTTGGAAAAGGTATAAATAGAGGGATTGCAACATTGTTAGCTGGTGCTCTAGGTGTTGGAGCCTATCGCGTAGCCACTTCTTTTGGAGAAAAAATTGAACCCATACTACTTGGGTTCTTCGTCTTCTTGTTTGGTAAATTTACAAACTTTTTACTTTAAATCATTATTTTTTAGAATCATTGATTCTAAATATTTGAAGATCGATCATGTTATTTTTGCCATTTGTTGATTCATTTAGAGTTATTTTGATATGGGGCAGGTGCGGTAGTGACATTTGTGCGATTCTTTCCGAGAATGAAGGCAAGATATGATTATGGACTTCTGATATTTATATTAACATTCAGTTTAATATCTGTTTCGGCGTACCGGACGGACGAGGTGATACAAATGGCCCACCAGAGACTATCCACCATACTCATTGGTGGCGCTGCTGCCATAATCACAAGCGTTGCCATTTGCCCTGTATGGGCTGGTGATGATTTTCACTCTCTTGTGGCTTCCAACCTCGAAAAGGTTGCCACTTTCCTAAAAGGTTGGTTTTCAACTATAGAAAATGTTATTTAAATATAATATTTTATTTAAATTTAATCGGGTACCTAATCGGTTATAACTTTTAAATTAATAATATGTTTCACATAATATTAGAACTTACAACTAACATTTATTGAATTAAGTTTTCAGTCGGTTATAACTGTATAACATTTCTTTTACACGTAATAACCACCAAACCAAAAAAAAAAAGTCCAAAAAAATAGAGAGAATCGCACTTTGTACTTGAAAATTTTTAAAATTCTCACGTTATAACTTTATTAATTAAATTTTTCACATTTCATTATCAATATATCAAAATAAAATCATATAGTTTGCATTGACCCCAAAAACAAGCACCCACTAACTCTTAACGAATGTTGAAGGTGCCATGTGAGGAAATCAAAGTATTATTTATCTTTTTGTCTATGACCTACAGAACAGAACTTACCAAGTTTTGTGAACTTTGCAGAATTTGGAAGCCAATACTTGAAAGCATCAAGTGCAGAACTCGTAGTTAACAAGGAATTTCCGCAAGGATATAAAAGTGTTATTAATTCAAAGGCCACTGAAGAATCTTTGGTGCGTAAGAATCGAAGCCCGATCACTATTTAGTATTTACATCAACAAATTAATTCAATTCTAACTTATTTCAAATATTAAAAATACTCGGTCCGCAGGCGAATTTCGCAAAATGGGAGCCGCGCCATGGCATGTTCAGGTACCGGCATCCTTGGGAAAAATACTTGGAAGTTGGAAACCTCACTCGACAATGTGCCTTCCGAATTGATGCTCTAAATGGCTACCTCACCTCTGAGATTCAGGTATTTCTAAGTGCATTCGACCTTCCGCATGACATTCTAAATCTTATCTGGCATGTATTTTAATAATGTGATATAGGAAGTACGAATATGGAAACAAGAGAGAGATTACGATTAACACAATGCAATTTTAAGCTACTCTTACAGGTGCCACAAGAAATTGGAGCGAAAATCCAAGAAATATGCAAAAAGATGACCTCAGAAACTAGCTTGGCTTTGAAAGAAGTAGCATTGGGCATGAGGACAATGACTATGCCGTCCTCCTCTGCTGATTCCCATATTGAGAATGCAAGAATGGAAGCAAAACACCTCAAATCCTTGCTTAAAACAAGGTCGTGGCCAGACAGTACTGATCTGCTGGACATAGTTCCGGTCGCTGCTGTAGCTTCATTGCTCATAGACATTGTCGCCTGCACAGAGAAAATTGCCGATACTGTTAAAGAACTTGCTCCTCTCGCACACTTCAAGGCTGCAGTAGTAACAGCTGGTCAGCAAAAACAATTGACCCGCCAACAAACTCATGGCAGAGAAGAAACACATCATATTATTACCATGGGTGAATCATCTCCTGAATAAACCCAGAAAATGTTTTTGAATCACTGTCAACTACAGGACCATGAATGCATGCCTGGATATGCCATTTTGGGTAGGGAGAAGTATCTGTATCTGATATGTGTCGAATATCGATAAGTATCCAATACGGTTGGATATGGATCTGATGTATATGCATATGATGTATCCAATATTTTTTGATAGTGGATACCAGGGGCGGAGCCACCTTGGGATAGCGTGGGCACTTGCCCCTAACTTTTGGATTGCCTATAATTAAGCTCCCGTAATGTTATTCAATGTACTATAGATTTTCCTCCAAAATTTTTAAAAAATTTTATTAAAGTATTAGTCTTTTTTTTTCAATAAATTAGTGGTCTATTACCCTTTTTTTTTTTTCTTTTCAAGTGAGTAAATTAGATGTAAATGTTGTGATCTATATAAATATATATATATAGATATTAAAAAAAAGATAATAATTATCTTCTATTTGATACAACATTTCCTATTTTTTAGAAACAATTGTATAGTTGTCATTTGTTATTCTTTGGTTTGTTTGAAATCTATAGTTAATAAAATAGGATTGGATGCAAAAAAGTTACATGTTATAACCCAAAAGTATTTTATGTTATTTTAAATATAAAATTTCTCAATAAGCTTGAGAATGATCTCAACTAAGTTTCACGGTTATTACAAAAAAAAAATNTGCTCATAGACATTGTCGCCTGCACAGAGAAAATTGCCGATACTGTTAAAGAACTTGCTCCTCTCGCACACTTCAAGGCTGCAGTAGTAACAGCTGGTCAGCAAAAACAATTGACCCGCCAACAAACTCATGGCAGAGAAGAAACACATCATATTATTACCATGGGTGAATCATCTCCTGAATAAACCCAGAAAATGTTTTTGAATCACTGTCAACTACAGGACCATGAATGCATGCCTGGATATGCCATCGAATTGGGGATCAAATTTTGAGTCTGAATGACATGGTAGCTAACTTAGCCTTCTTTATTTTGTGCCATGTTATTCGGGCCACAATAAAAACTCCAAATGATATGCTGTCATATCATTTGAGTTCTAAATTTGGTCCCAAAATTTACAGGACCATGAATGGATGCTTGGCTGATATGGCATTTGGGGTAGGGAGAAGAAGTATATGTATCTGATATTGAAAGGCATTAAATACGGTTGGATACGTATCTGATATATATGTATCTGATGTATAAAATATTTTTTTATAGTGCATACAAGGGGCGGAGCCATCTTTGGATGGGGTGGGCACTGGCCCGGACTTTTGTATTACCTATGATTAAGTTCCCGTAATGTTATTCAGTGTACTATATTTTTGCTTCCTAAATTTTTAAAATTTTTTATTAAAGTATTAGTCTTTTTTTTTCAATAAATTAGTGGTCTATTACCCTTTATTTTTTTATCTTTTGGAGTGAGTAAATTAGATATAAATATTATGATCTACTTATATATATATTAAAAAAAAGATAATAATTCTATTATATTTAATACAATATTTCCTAGTTTTTTGAAACAATTGTATATTTGTCATTTGTTATTCTTCCGTTTGTTTGAAATCTATAGTTAATAAAATAGGATTGAATGCAAAAAGTTATATGTTATAACCCAAAAGTATTTTATGTTATTTTAAATATAAAATTTCTCAACAAACATGAGAATTCTAGCTCATACAATTAAACAAGAAAATTGTATTTCACTGTAATATAATTAAAACATATCAAGAAAAAGTTATTTTGTGTCTTTTTTTTCAAATTTTGTTTAATAAAAAAAAATTACTATTTCAATAATTTTGTCTTGAATCTAAGTCTATTTTGTCATTTTTATACTCAATTTTTTCAATATCAACTAGTTACTTATTTTCAGTTATATTTTATCCTCCCAATTGAATTTCTAACTCCGTCCCTAGTGGAAATGCTGAGATAAGATAGATAATCGCTAGGATACGGATATCAATATGACAAGCAATCTATCCATTTGTAGAAAAATAAAAACTCCAATGCAGACCATTAGTTTCTATCAACAAAAAAATTTAAAAATAATTTCTTGGATAGCCAACAACATGGCAAATCATTGCACAAAACCCAAAAGGTAAATGTTTCCACTAAATAAACAAGAGAAGTTTTAATCTCTTTCTCTTTACTTCTCATTCTTGAGTTTCTCTCACGGTTTCAAATCATTGACCACGACTGTGTCGATCGAAACTTTGTTGACCACAACTGCTATTCACAAAAAAAAAAGTACGGTACAGGCATTTAGCATAGATAACGAGCTCGGTGATCAACAGTGAGGTAAGACAAACGACGAAAAACTAACTAGTGGGTAAGACAAGGTGTAGTGCATCTGGTTAGCGTATCAATTTAGGTTTGAATCCTTTCACCTTGGTGTGGCGAATTGTAAGAAAAATTTGGAGTGGTTCTTGCTCTAATTTCAGAGAATACCTCAAAAACCCAAGTCAAAAGTAGACAAGGAGTAGGTGTGTAGACAACCAATTTAATAATAATTCTTATGGTTAAGTGTTTTAAGTCATTTGATCAGGGACACTAGTTGATGAGACATTTTCAGAAGGGTTTTAGATCAGCTACACGTGTCTTCAGCCTGAAGGCTCCCTGCTTAAAACTTAGCTCCAACATGTCCCCTCGTTCCCGAGGGTACTCCACTTGACGTCACATGCGCCTTTGCTCCTACACATGTTCATTGGCTTCAAGATGTCCCCCCTCGGCCCCGAGGGTGCTCTCTTTGGCCTCGCCATGGATCCTCGGCTTTTAAGGAGACTTGTGACTAACAACTAAGCAGTTTAAGCTAAACTAGGGACTGTGAGGATACCATGCATAAAGTAGTCAGAATGATAGATTGAACTGGACACTCCACCAGAGAGAATAAAAAACGTGGCGTAAGGTACAGGGTAAGGGGTAAAAAGATGGAACTACCCCTGCTGACATGTGGCTAATAGAGACAGACATTTAATGCATTATCAGTTGATAAGACATCTAGCATGGCTTGATATGCCAAGAAGTAAAAACATTAAATGTTCTGGGATCCAAGCATTCAATGCCTCAACATTGAAGAAAAAACATTGAATGCTCAACAGTGCGAGCAATTAAAATGGGGACATTCCCCATGAAAAGTATGGGGCACACTGTCCCATCTCTGAAGGCTATCTACTGCCTAGATTGTCGGCAATGATGAGTCTTGAAAGGTATAAATAGTCTATAAGAACACATTGCAAAGGTGCACAAATTGATCTCTCAAGAATCTCAAACAATGTTTTTTTCTTCCACTCTCTCTAAGAACTGACTTGATCGTCGGAGGGGATACACCGAAAAACACTCTGGCGTCCTTCTAACCCATTTTCTGTGTTCCAGGAGGCCCTCACTAGCCCTCAGGATCTGTTCAACAACACTAGAAGTAATTCATCACCAGTCCTTAGGCTTTCTCAATCTATTCCTTGTTGCTGGATCTACCATTCCGACGAATCGAATTTCACCGTGGGATAGATCTGTTCTCATTTCAACTATTGCGTAGAAATCACCCTGCACACTAGCTATCCTTTTTTTGAATTTGTGGCGGGAGGCAGGAAACTCCATCTATACCATAGCTTGATATGAGAGACTCGAGAGGCAGCGAGTGTAGTTTACGGGTCGGGAGTCATAGTTCCAATATCAACAAAATTAGAACTATTGGTTAAGATGTTTACGGGTCGGGAGTCATAGTTTCTAAATTTAATTTGTTAAGATGTAAAAGTTAACGTGATCTAATAACATCATATTAATTACGAATATTGGAATTTTTATTGGAATCATATCATTTCACATATCATCTGCTCAAAAACTAAAATATTAAAATTTATATGAGTTAAAATTTATATTATATAATACTAATAAAAGTATTTTAACATCAAAAAATTTTGATTTACTATTTTACCCTTATAAATAATTATAAAGACTAACATGTCCTTTTATATTTAAATATGCAAATTACTATCATATCTCTTTGTATTTAAATAATAAACTAATCTCTAACATATCATGCAAAACTCTCTATCTTTATAAAACTTTTGAATGATTATAGTATGCAAAAATATCTTGATATGAAAAACTTTTGATGCACTATTTTGCCCTTAATAAAAACTATAAAAGCTAACATGTCCTTTTATATTTAAATAAGCAAATTACTATTATATCACTTTGTATTTAAATAAAAAACTAATATCTAACATATCATGCAAGTCTCTATATTTTTATAAAACTTTTGAACAATTATGTATGCTTAACGTGATATATAAAAATAATATTAGTTTTTTTTTTCTCAAAACTCTAATATTAATATACGTTGATAACTCCATTGATGCAATATCAACTCCAATGCCTAAAAAAGAAAAATAATTTAGTAAAAATTTTTAATACACAAAGTAAAAACGAGAAAAAAAAATCGAGAAAAAAAAAATACCTAAACTTTACTACTTGGTAGCTCGAATGAAAGAATTATAGAAAAATGAGTTCATTTGATGTTTATAGTTATGAAGCGAATAAAAATAATTTAAGTATGACAAATATGAGATAATATTTAATGTAACTACATAATTAAATTTTTGTTATGTATTTCTTCAAATATTTCAACAAAAATTTTTATGTGCAACGCACGTTGTGCAATGCTAATCTTACTAAAAAAACCCCTTGCACAATAAATTTGTAGGGTTTTTACCTCTATTCACCCCACTGGTCCCGTTTATTACGACTAGTATAGTAAATGTTGTACCTCGAATCAAGGGGTGTTAGAAAGACTCGTGTATGATTTTTTAGAAAAACGAACAAAAGTGCACCTTTTTCATGCAGAACAGACAAACTGTTAGAGATTGGAGTTGACTAGTCAAAGACACTCTGATGCTTAATGTTAGAATCATGTTTGTAATTAGTCAATTTTGTGAAGATTTGTAAATCTTAATCTATTCTATGGTCATTATACTACAACATTCAAGATTCGAAAAGGTCAAATGAAGCGAAGAGTTTAAACTACAACGACACATTAAAGATTCTCAAAATGATTAGGACAAAGGTAACGGTGTCAGAAACCTTAGCATTCTTGGTTTAATTCTAGAATTAGGATGATTAGGGTAAAAGGGAATTAGTGATTAATCCAATAATAACTCATAGGTGTTTTTCAAAAAAAAAAAATTTTTAAACCTTTATTGTGTTTTGAAAATATAAGATTGAGTCATTAATCAGACCATATTTGAGCAACACCTTTAGTAATCCAT